CATATATATGTATATATATGTATGTATATGCCTACAAGAGACTGAAACTGAAAGACACACAGAGACTGAAAGTAAAGAAATGGAAAAAATATTTTATGCAAATAGAAACCAAAAAAATTAAAAAGCTGAGGTAACAATACTGATACCAGACAAAATAGACTTTAAAATAAATACTATAACAATGGACAAAAAAAGAATTTTATAATATAAAGGGATCAATCTAACAAGAGGATATAACTCGTATGAACATCTATGCACCTCATTTAGAAGCCCCTATATATAGAAAGCAAATACTGTTAAACCTTTAGTCAGACTCATCAAGGAGAGGGCCCAAATAAATAAAATCAGGAATAAAAAAGAAGTGACAATGGACACCACAGAAATACACAGATTGATAAGAAAATAGGATGAAAAAAATTGTATTGTATGCCAACAAATTGGACAACCTGGAATAAATGGATTAATGTATAAAAATACTCAATCTTCCAAGACTGAATCAGCAAGAACCAAAATCTGAACACACTGATAACTACTAAAAGTATTAAGTCAGTAGTCAAAAAACTCCCAACAAACAAGGTCCTGTACTAGATGGCTTCACAGGGCAATTTACCAAACATTCAAATAGTTAACACCTATTCTTCTCAAACTATTTAAAAAAACTGAAAAGTAGAAAAAGTTTCTAGACTCATTTTTCAAGGCCAGCAATATTCTGATACCAAACCCAGATAAAGAAGATAAGACACTACAAAAAAAAAAATTCAAACCAATATCTCTGAAGAACATAGATGCAAAAATTATCAACAAAATATTAACAAACCCAATTCAACAATACATTAAAAAATACCCCATGATGAAGTGAGATTTATTCCTGGAATGCAAAGTTGGTTTAATATCTGTATATCAATTAATATGATACCCCACATAAACAAAATGATGGATAAAAATTATATGATCTTATCAATAGATGCAGAAAAAGCTTTTCACAAAATTCAACATCTGTTTATGATAAAAATTCTAAGTAAAGTAGGATTGGAGGGGGTTTACCTAAACATAATAAAGTCCATATGTGACAGAATCACAGCAAACATTTTACTCAATGGGAAAAAGCTAAAAGCTTTTTCTTTAAAATCAGGGACAAGAAAGGATAAAGATGTCCACTTTCATCACTTTTATTCAACATAGTATTAGAAGTCCTAGCCACAGCAATCAGACAAGAAAAATAAATAAAAGGCACCCACATTGGAAAGGAAATCATATCATTATTTGCATTTAACATGAAATTATATTTACAGAACCCTAAAGACTGAGGGAAGGCGAGGGGTGAGGGGGTAAGAAATCTACCAAAGGACTTGTATGCATGCATATGAGCATAACCAATGGACACAGGTTGAGGGGGAAGGTGAGGGCATGTGTGGGGGGTGGGGGCAGCTGGGGGAGAAGTCAATGGGGAGAAAGGGAGACTTATGTAAACAATAATTTAAATTAAAAAAAAAAGATTCCACAAAAGACTACTAGAACTTATAAATGAATTCAATAAAGTAGTAGGATACAAAATCAATATTCAGAAATCAGTTACATTTTATACACCAATATTGAACTTTCAGAAAATTTAGAAAACAATCCCATTTACAGTTGAATAAAAAAGAATAAAATATCTAAGACTAAATATAACTAAGTAGGTAAAAGACCTATACTCAAAATATAAGACATTGTAGAAAATGTAAATAAACGGAAACATATTCCATGCTCAGGAATATAAAAAATTGGCATAATCAAAATGTCCATATTACCCAAAAGCAATCTATAGATTCAATGCAATTCCTATTAAAATACCAATAAGATTTTTCACTGAACTAAAGCAAAAAAAATCACAAAATTTATATGGAATGACAAAAGACAGAATACCCAATGCAATCTGGAGAAAAAAGAACAAAGTTGGAAGTATCATACTACTTAATATCTAGCTATACTCCAAAGCAATAATAATCAAGACAGCATTTTACTGGCATAAAAACAGACACATAGATCACTGAAGCACAATGAAGAGCCTAGAAATAAACCCACACCTATATGATCAATATATGACAAAGGAGGCAAGAATATACAATGGGGTAAAGACAGTCTATGCAGCCAGCCAGCATGGCTCAGTGGTTGAGCATCGACCTATGAACCAGAAGGTCACGACTGGATTCCCAGTTTGTGTACTGGGTTGCAAGCTCAATTCCCAGTAGGGGGCATGCAAGCGTAGTCTCAGTCAGGGCACATACTGTAGGCAACCAATCAATGTTTCTCTCTCACAAGAATCTCTCTCTTTCTGTCTCTCTCCCTTCCTCCCACCTTCCTTCCCTTGTTCTCTCTCTAAAATCAATAGATATGTCCTGGGGTAAGGATTAAAAAGAGAAAAAATGAAATAAGCAATGAATCCTTGCAAACAGGGCTAAACACAATGCCATCCTAGGTAGACTATGGTACTGCACAGATTAACAAAACAGAGATCTACTGATCAAGTACAAGAAGAGAGCCAAGGTATCTCCAGGTCTAGACAGAAACAAATGCAGAAATTAAGAGACCAGAATATACTAAGCATGACTTGAACTGAATGTAGAATGCTGGTTTGCATTTCTAAGAGCTCTCTTTACCCCCAAAAGACCTTCACCTCACCACTCCCTTACTACTCTAGTCCAAGTTCAAGGATGCCTCTTCAGGGTTTATCCCAAATCTGAAAATCCCAGATGTAGTAGTCACATGGTAATAATGGCAGAGGGGAGAAGATAGAAGCAGAAAACTGCAAGGAAGTATTTATTCAATATTCAATTTTCTAGTAATTAGGTATGCAAAAGCAAGACATTATAATGTAAATCTCATTCATTGCCTAATCTATTTTTTTATTTCTTAAGTTAAAAAATGAGCTCATCAGATAAGTATGTGATATATGAATCAGTAGACAGGCTTTTGGTTAAATGGCATTGCCACTTGACAGATAAAAAACATCATAATATTTAAAATTCTTCATCCCCCAGTGTATCAGTGGCCTAAAGTACAGGAGTGTTCATAAACTATCTTTAAAAGGAGAATATAATATGTTGTCTGCTGTCAGTGAGAAAGGACTTATCTTAAATCAAGAGCTGAAGTAGTGCCTTTTCTAAGATACATTTCTTTCTTTAAAGGAGGTGAACTTTTAAGCCAAACCTCTCACCTACTAGGTTGGAATTACATAGGACAGTAAATCAAGATATTGACAATCTGTGGAGATTATAGTCATTTGGCTAAATTTAAATAGATTGTTATTCTCACAAGAGAATGCCTATTTATTTACAAAAATATATATAATTTTTGCTTTCAAATATATCTTTTTTGTAGCCTTGTATTTGGGGGATTAAAGTGGAATGAATACATTATATTCCATTTTTATAGAAACCGAGCGCTGTCTAAATAAATGAACAGAATTTTTGATGGACCATCTTGAATGGATTACATAACTTTTGAGATCACTGTTTTTCAAGTGTCTGACGTTCATATCCCTCCTAGACATAAATTACAAAATAAAATCAGCTATTCCTAGTTTGCTTTGCTCCTGAATGTGTCTCCATTCTACGTGTTGTAAATCAAGTTTGATCTATATTAAAACAAGTTGATGTTTCAAGACTGATACCTTTATTGATGACAATATCTAAGTGCAAATTTGTAATATTCAGCAACCTGGAATCTAATCCAGTTGTTCCAAAGAGCTCAATCATCTCAATAACTGTCGGTTCTGAGCAATTGGCAAGATTGAACCCACATTTTAAAATAACATAAAAGATGTTGACTAAACAGACTCAGCCATTTTTGTATCTTAAATAGTTTAATATTATCGCATTGCTTGGCATAAACTATTATTTTCTGGACTAGGAGGATCCAATTTTAGGATTTTTAAGTTCAGTGGAGTCACTGGTTCTTACCAAAAGCAATATAGTCTATTTCCTCTTTCCTAAAAGAAGTCAGTCCAAACTCTAGTGGCATATCAAACAAAACTACAACAGCCCCCTCTATTATGTTTCAGGTTGCTTGAGTAGGTTGATGCACCAGTGAAATATATATTTCAGGAGCTTAGAAGAGAGAAAAGGACAAAAGTACTAATTAAATTTAAATCCGTATATTTCTGGAATGATGACTACACAGGAGAATACGGTAATTCTAAATGTCAACCTCATTTTCACTGAACTTTAAAAATTTTTTAATAATGCTGTAATTTTTCACCTTCATATAAGGCTCAAGGTCCATTTTTAACAAAGGTCTCGAAAGAGTCCACATGCAAAGTCAGGTATCATGTTTTTATGTTTAAAAAGTGCAATGTGAGCAGCCAGGTATGGGTCTCAGGTCTCATTTACATACCCTTGCTGCAGGAGTGGCACTGCAGAGAAACTCCCATAAATCATCTCCTGGCTGTACACAATTAATTTTACTTTCTGTACTTGCCCGCCTCTATGTTTTTATGCTGTTTCTTTTTATGTGTAATTGTTGGGGTTGCTCATGGTTTGAGGTGAAATACCCAAGCTTAATATTAAAATATTGCTGGATAATATTATAGTATAAGTTTTAATAACCCAATTCAAGGTCACCTTTTCCCACAAGTTTTAAAATTAACTGTCAAAAAAGTATCAAAAGAAAAATAACCTGTAACTTCCTAACCCTTTTATATATGAGAAGATATTAAGTGGGTTTACTGCATAATTTCTTGAAGGGTAAAACATTTCTACCATCATGGTGTATTTTCCCCGCGATCTTTTATGTTTATTGTTACCTTGGAAGTGATTTCAGACTTCATGAGAGTTTCTTACTACTTAGCTTATTTTCAATAAAACAAGGGAAAACACCCTTTTTTAATGATTTTCAGAATAGCTATTCTTCCAGACGGGAATCTGCGGATCCTAAATGCTTCTAAATCAGATGAGGGAAAGTACGTTTGCCGAGGGGAAAATGTCTTTGGTTCTGCTGAAATCATAGCTTCAGTATCTGTAAAAGGTAAGAAAATGTGGCTAAATATTTGATAAGCCTAATTTCATGGCCTTATCAGAAAGTGAATAGAAATAATATGCATGTATAGATGTATGTGTGCATGCTCCTGTTTATAAACTACATTGTAAAAATGGAACTAATATAGCCACATGGTCCCTTTCCATTATTTAGGGCACCATAAATAAATAGAATTCTTGTTGGTAGAAATTTAAATTTTTTTCTTTGAACACAATATGTAAGAGGATGAAGACAGCTTGGTGAAGTTTTAGTCGGTGTCTCAAAATTTAAAAGTATGCTAACAGTATAAAAATATTTTTTTCTCTACAAAGATTAATTTTAGCAATAATCAGTAATATTCCCTTATTATCACTTCCACCGAGGATTTGGGGTAGAAAGGCAGGAGGAGGACATGGCTGCGGTATATGGGAGTGAGCTCGGAGAAACTGACATACCAGAGCTGCACTTTGACATTTGCATCAATGGAATTTTTTACATAATGTCATTTTTTAACATTACAAATATTGCCTCTTAAATGTTTACTTGTAAAGTGAACTGGATGTCAAGCCTAGAACCTTCGAGACTACATGTCACTGCTTCATACTAAGAAAATCTTAGGTAGTGTCTTTGTTAGCAGAGGAATATTTTAAAGTTGAACTCTACACTTAATTGATTTTTTTTCCATTTGCGCGTGTATTTTATAGTAAGTCATATTTGGGCCATAAAAAGGTAAAACTGTTAATTTGTCTCATTCTTTAGAAACAGAAAAGTGAAATAGACAGCACTCCGATATTTTTAGGGAACGGGCAAACATCACTAGAAGGAACATGATTTAAAGGATGTCTTCATTTATTGCAGACACTACAAGAATCAGACTCTGCTTCTACTTCCAGTCTGTGTCTTATTCCTTCTCTGTGCTAAACAATGAGGCAGTGCTGGATCCAAGGACTTTTTTTACAACAACAAAAATATTCTTGCACTTTCCAAAAAAAAAAGTTGTTAAATGGAATATTTACTTAATAGGAATATTCTAATTCTTACAAAGGTTAAACCACAGTATGATGTGATTGTCCTCTCTGATGAAGCCAGAGATTAGATTGCCACATGGCATATCTGACTTCTAAAATGTCAACTTTCATAGTGGCATTGCTTTCCTGGCATCGCACCCACTTTCCTCTCGGTGACTATTCAGAAGGATGTTGTATATTAAAGGGTCTTAACCACCCCTATTAAGCATGGTGCTTCATCAGATTGTGCTATTGTCAACAATAGAGCTGGAATAGGAAAACTGGGCTAATAGTTAATCATTTGTGTCAGTCTTCTTCAGGTATCTACAATCGGGATTCCAGGAACTAAAGACAACATCAAAATCCTATCTCCATCACTTCCCTACTTTATTCAAAATAGCAAGTTATATTGCAGTTATTTGATCACTGTCTTTTTAGAATAATTTTTTCTTTTTCAATAACAGTCAACATACAATATTATATTAGTTTTAGGTGTATAACACAGTCACTAAACATTTATATCTTACAAAGTTGATCACTATCTTAAGTAACCCTTAGATGTATGGCTCATATTAGCCTTTATTGGTTCAAAATTGCTCTAAACCCTGTAAAAATGTACCTTTTTTTGTAATTTAACTGTATCTCACTTTGCGTAATAACTCTCCACGTCCATGAATAAGCCAGTCAGAGAAAGGCAAGTACCATATGATATCACTTAAATGTGGAATCTAATGAACAAAGTAAACTAACAAGCAGAGTGGAGACAGACTCATGGACACAGAAAACAGACTGACAGCTGTCAGAGGGGCTGAGTGAGAAGGGTGAAGGGATTAAGCAAAGGAAAAATAAAGATTCAGAAGGATCTGTATCTGGAATGACTTTATTGCATAGATTCCTTGTTAAGTTTTTCTTTGTTATTTAAAATATAGAACGCAGGGAAATACTATGTGTGATATTAATTAATATATTTTTATTTCTGTAGAACCTACAAAAATAGAACTTACTCCTAAAAGAACAGAGTTAACAGTGGGAGAAAGCATTGTTCTTAACTGTAAAGCAATCCATGATGCTAGTTTGGATGTCACTTTCTACTGGACACTGAAAGGACAGCCTATCGATTTCGAAAAAGAAGGTGGACATTTTGAAAGCATCAGGGCCGTAAGTTAATACACTTTTATTTTTTGAGTAATAACAATTTTAGAAATTTAAGTTCAAATGTAAAAAACTTTCTTAGCCATGTAATGCTAAGAAAACATAGGGGTAAAATCAATTTGATTTAAGCATATTTTTCCTTATTTTATATTAGGCCAAACGGAAAATAATAATAATTTTAAAAAACCCAGTAATAAATTGGTAATACTATATTATGCAAGTCTGGTTTATTTGCCTATTTTATTTACTCGATTAATATTGTCAACATTTCCACATTACTTCTCAAAAGTTATGTTGCTACATAAAGTGACTAGTGATATTTAAAGCATTCTTATGAATATTTATGATACAATAAATTACTGAAATAACCTGGCTGTCCTACTCCTCGAAAAAAGGTAATTTTGGGAGATTTTTAAATTTCTCACAGGCTATAGAGCTAAACATGCAACCCATAGTCAGAAAGGCATATTAGCCTTAGATAAACATTCACAAGCATACTCATTTCTTCCTCACCAAATATTTTCTTTGTGATGTCTTCTTTTACTTTATATATCTACATGGCAATCCACTAAATGGAGCAGGAAATCTTTTTAACCAAATACTATAGAACCATCACAGTGTCTTTAGCCAATAGAGAAGTAAAAAACACCTCCTCCCACTCTTATTTAAGACATAAAAGAGTATTTGACAGAGGGAGAGAGAAAGATGGATGGAATTAGGGAAGCAGAGAAAGATTGTGGCTGCTATATCCCATCTATATTTGCTAAAGGGATAGATACAAATACAATTTATGCCTACAAATCCAATTTGAAATGCTGTCGCATGATTATTAACATCAGTTTATTTTTCTATAAACACTTTGGGAAGCACTGGAAAACCACAGCTATAATGAGCCCAAACAGATAAAACTCAGTTTGGGTTGCATTTTATTATAACTGTAATGTAATACAGTGAAAAGTCCTGGACCCAAAGTCAGGAATTTTCTGGATCAATTTCCAATTCAATCTTTAATCAGCTGGGTAACCAAAAGCCAGTCAATAACTTGACCTATTTGGGCATTAATCTTATAAAGTGAAACAGTTGGACCAGATAATTTCTAAGATCCTTTCTCACTCTAGAATTTGATAAATTTATATTATAAGAATGAAATATGAATTTTCTTTGTTACATTTGCCAGTGTAACCAAAATTAAACATTTTCTTCCAAATTATCCATTTTATCCTGATTTACTTGGCAATAAATGGGTAAGACTATATAAATCAGAAACAATTACCAACATCATTATTCATATCTCACTAAATAAATTAATTTTAATTGTTAATGGTTATGTTAAATACAAAATATTTAGGTCATATTAAATTAAACTCATTTTCCTCTAATTCGTTTTTCCTTTTTTCTTTTGCCTTGAATTGATAATTCCTTCAAGATTGTGAACAAATTTTATGCCATCATTGTCACAAAGAGAACCAGAAAAAATGATACAAAAATATTACATTTGAGAGCAAAACATTTACCATCAAAGATATAGCTTCTCTGGATTATCTGTAAACCTTCATTTTAAGTGATCAGATATAGAACGTAAAAAATATATCTAAAATGAATGTTGATTTTTCTTTATATAAGTGGGTCCCCACTTTATTTTAAAAATACTAATAGAGAAATCAATGGTCCTGATCAAATTATATGAATTCTGGATTTTGTCTCTTAGACAGTACCACTTTGGTTTAATGTCATTCATTTGTATAGATAAATACCTGTAATCCCTTCCATAAAGTTGGCAGTTAAGAGTACCTGCTGTAGTCCTCTTTACATATATGCTGTTCTTGCCCTTGAGAAGTACAAAATTTACTTTTTACTCCCTGTTAACCCATACTGTTACAAGCCATGTTAAAATTAGGCTCTGGATGATGGACAGTGATAATAAACTACAGCATAGAAAATTAAAGCAAATTATCGTATTGAGACGTGAGAAAAATATTTAGGTTTGGGTAATGTAGAACTTATCATTTTCAGTGGATTTAGAATAATTAATAGAAATACGTAGGTGCTGTAAAAATTGAAAGCTTCAAAACTGCATGGTGTCAAAGAAATTGCCTATCACTTTTTTCCCAGTTTCCTCAAACACTGATTGGATTCTGGATGGCTCCATATGTTTTAGGAGAAGAAATGAAAATGTTATTTAGAAGGGAGATTTGGGAAGGCCTCTGGACTTGTTAATACCTTCTGTCTGAAAGGCCAATTGAAGATTCTAGGAATAAGAGGGGTAGGACAGGGTTCAGAAGAGAAGCAAGTGGGGTGATCTGTGAGTTTCAAAGGAGAACCCCTGAAGAGACCTTAGTGGGGCTCCAGGCCGGCCCAGCAGAGGAAGAAAGCCAAACAGAGTTCAGGGACTTAAGCAGGAAGAGTAGTGTGCCTTTGAGCCCTCTCTAGATTAACTGCCTTGAGACCTGACCTACCAGTGCGTGATTGCATGAGGGTTATTCAGAAGAGAAAGGAGGGTATAACTTTTAAGCACATTAACACTATAGAGTGGCAAATGAATCAGCCAAATATCTACCCCCACCCCCCACAAAAAGATACCAATGCTGTTAATAAAGCATTTTCTGCTTAGTTAACTACTGCATTATTTCAGAGGTTTTAATAAAATTAAATGCATAAAATTCTGTTAAAACTTTTTACTATAAAATAGTTTATTTCTTTGCCTTTTTACACAAAATTGGATGTTCAGTTGAGCACAGTTTGAAACTGCCTTAGATGACATCTGAGACAGTCTGTTATTGGCAGACCCTTTCTTATTTTCTGGGGGTGTCATCTGAGTGATCTGTGGACTACAATGACTTCAGGATCACAGCTGGATAGAAATACCAAGTTGATTAGCCACCTCCGTTTTTACTCTAATAGGCAGATGGTCTCAAAAAGCAAAATTTGAAGACTCCTCTTCACTTTTTGTCAATGCAGTAAAATCAAGTAATGCCTCTGAAGTTATCCTGTATAATAGAAGACTAATATGCAAATTGTCCCCTCCACCAGGAGTTTGACCTGGAGTTTGACCATGGGACGGGGCTGGCTGACCAACTCACCCAAGCCAGTCCCGCCCCCAATTGGCACCCCCCACTCTGATCAGGTGTGGGGCTGGCCGGCCAACCTCCCCCGCCCCCTCCCACCTGGGCCAGATCAGGGCCGACGGGGGTGAGCCAGCCGGACCCCACCCATGCACAAATTCGTGCACCAGTCCTCTAGTCACATATAAAAAGACAGGCTTAGCCATCCAAATCACACAGGCCTCACTTTGTTTATTTAGATATCATCCACTAAAATGAACCTTCTGGTTATGGTACTTACTATGGTAGGGATACCAAGCTTTTTAATTTATTTAAAAGCTCCATTTTTGATAGATGTTTTATCTTTATAATATACTTACATAGCATTATGGGTGATATGAAAATTACTAGCTCCTATGAAATGTGTTTAACCTTTATCAAATGTTCAAGTTACTAAAATGAGTATCTAAATTATTTTCAGAGCCTAAAAATACTCATCTTTTCTCAATATTGCAATTTTATCCACAGTGTTTGCTTTGTTTATTTCTTAAGAAACCTCTATTCAAATCTTGATAATTTTTTTAAAAATACCTCTATCTCACTCTTATATTCTTGTACTCTTCTCCCTTTTATTATTCATATTGATTTGTGGGTCCATTCCAATGAATTAAATTAGGAAGGATAATGGATTATGTCAGTCTTAACTGGGGACACCATAGGGCTAGGAATCGTTCTCTGCCAATGAGAGTTGTCTCTTAATATCTTTTATCAAACATAGAGCATATGTAGAACTATTTAGGAAGGTGACATTTTAAATTTCCTACTTTCTCAATAAGTTTAACATTAAATTATATTATCATGAGGTAAATATCCCTCATCCATTGTAGAATTTGTGGGTTAATTATTCTCATTGCTGGAAATATTTTCATATATTCATCAAAAACCACTCACATCTATAAAGTTTATGCTATGATTATATGGTTACATTTACATTATATAACTTCTTTTCTGCTAGTATTTATGACGAGATCGGGCGCGTTCAGGGTGGTATGGCCGTAGACAGTCTGCTAGTATTTATAAATGACTATTATGAACAATCTCCTTTGCCAAAAATATGTTTCTGTTATATGTATTTTTAAAATCAACCCTATAAATCAGACTCTTCAACATTTAGTTAATCACTTCAGAATAAATTTGAAAGTTTCATTATTCAATTAAGACCTAGGCTAAAATAATATTAATAACATTTTACATCATGAAGAGAACTTTTGCCCTTTCTCTCTCATACCTATTGTTTCATTTGATTTCCACAATAACATTATTAAATTATATATAAATGAAGAAACTGAGTCCCAGGAAGGAAGATGGGTGAAGGGTCTCACTTTTGGGGTTCTGAGCAACACAGACACAATGACCACACAGCGGCCACCATTATCATTGAAGCTTCATTGAGCTTAAAACTTCACAGCCATGAATGATATTCCAAATCTGGTTTGATGTTTCAAAGTAAAGACAGAAACTAGCTGTAACTTTTCACTATGCCATTTTGAAAATCGGAGACATAAAGAGATTGCTTCTTCTCTGCAGCCTCACCTCTAAGCTGGAAAGTGCAATCTATTTTTACCTTACTTCATTGATCACTATTAAAACATTGAAATTATATATTCTGTAACATCAACTCAACAAGTTGTGTATATATATATATATACATTTTTATTGATTTCAGAGAGGGAGGGAGAGATAGAAACATCAATGATGAGAGAGAATCATTGATTGGCTGCCTCCTGCAGGCCCCCAGTGGGGATCAAGCCTGCAACCCAGGCATGTGCCCTTAACCAGAATTGAACTTGGGACCCCTCAGTCCTCAAGCCAACACTTTATCCACTGAGCCAAACCAGCTAGGGCAACAAATTATTTTTAAAAATGCTCCCATAAAAGTTACTGAGAATGAATTGAAAAACATCT